AGCTCTGGTGTATGTGGCTGGCACCTTAGCCACTTAAGCTACAGACACCACCCCTAATCTGCCCTTTAAAGTTCCTATACTAACTTATGCAGTGAGAACTTTTTACTAAACTGAGAAATTATATATTTACTCCTTGGAATAAAAAATAATATGTGGGTATGGTAAAAATCAAAAGTTACAGTTGTATCTTCTCCATCCCACTACCATCTTTCGCTCAAAATAATCAGTTGTTTCTCATGTATCCTTCCAGCTGAAAACACAAATACACATTTCCAAGCATGATCATGTCCTTTGCTTTTTGAATTTACACAAAAAGGGTTGTGTACACACTGTTCCTACTTATCTCAGTATATTTAAGGTAGTGCCTTGTCAAATATTGAACTAATCTAAATCTTACAATACCAGAGCCAAAGAAAGAACAATTTTGTTTATTAACCTATGGCAAAGTGGCGCCAGTAGCTCAAGCGGCTAAGGTGCCAGCCACATACATCGGAGCTGGAGCTGACGGGTTCAAATCTAGCCCGGGCCTGCCAAACAATGACAACTATAACCAAAAATAGGCGGGCATTGTAGCAGGCACATGTAATCCCGGCTGCATGGGAAACTGAGGCAAGAGGATCACTTAAGCCCAAGAGTTTGAGGTTACTGTGAGCAGTGATGCCATGGCACTCTACCCAGGGCGACAGCTTGAGAGTCTTGTCTCCAAAAAAAAAAAAAAAGCCTATGGCAAGAACTTGGTCTCAAAAGTACTTAATGGAGGTGGCCTGAGTGGACAATTCCATTTACCAGGAAACCAGTAGTGATTTTTGTTTTGAGTTTTTTAGAAATCCTTTTAAATGGATGGACCAAGTTCTAGTATTTGGAAATACTTTGAACACAGAAAGTTTGGGGACCATAGCACTAGTAAATCTGTTCCACTAATGAAGTAAGTGATAATAGAACTTCCATTCTTTTATATAAATAATGTTTTGAACCTCTCCTCTATTTAAGTAAAACATCAAGGCTGGATGCACTGGCTTACACCTGTAATCCTAGTACTCTGAAAGGCCCAAGGTGGGTGGATTGCCTGAGCTCACAAGTTCAAGACCAGCCTGAGCCAGAATGAGACTTCACCTCTTAAAAATAGCTAGGCATTGTAGTGGGCACCTATAGTCCCAGCTACTTGGGAGGCTGAGGCAAGAGATTTGCTCAAACCCAAGAATTTAAAGTTGCCGTGATGTGATGCCGCGGCACTCTACTAAGGGCTACAAAATGAGACTCTGTCTCAAAAATAATAAAATAAAATATATTCTAAGACATGTACTTACTGAGTCAAAGATAATATTTTTAAGCCTTTGGGTGCCTATTGCTAGATTGTTCTCTAGAAGCTCTGTGCAGATTTGTCTTGCCATCAGAAAGTTTTGAAAGGACATTTTTACTTCTTTCAAGTATTGAATAATATATTTTTTTAAGTCTTTATTTATTTGAGAGATAAAGAATGTGTTATCATTCTTTGCTTCAATTTGCATTACTTCACTACCAATAACATTTTTTTTTTTTTGAGACAGAGCCTCAAGCTATCCCCCTGGGTAGAGTGCTGTGGCATCACAGCTCACAGCAACCTCCAACTCCTGGGCTCAAGCGAGTCTCCTGCCTCAGCCTCCTAAGTAGCTGGGACTATAGGCACCCACCACAACGCCTGGCTATTTTTTGGTTGCAGCCGTCATTGTTTTTTGGTGGGCCCAGGCTAGATTTGAATCTGCCACCTTAGGTGTATGTGGCTGGCGCCTTAGCCACTTGAGCCACAGGCACCAAGCCAACATTTCTTTATACTGTTTTTGCTTACTATGGTTTTCTTCTTTTTCCTTCAAATTACCTGTTCTGGTCTATTTCCCATTTATCTATTGAGATCTCAATATTATTTTCTTGTAAATCTTCAAGGTCTTCATGTTTAGGTTATATGTCATTCAGCAAATATTTTTTTCCATAGTGTTGTTCTTCTTTTGATTATTTTATATAGACGCACTATCGTTTTTAACTTAGAACTTAGAAGGTTCTCCCTTCCTTTATAGCACAGTTTCATATTCTATTCCATTTTTTACTCAGTTTTGGGGTTTTTTTTTTTTAATTTTCTGAATTCTGTTTAAAACTAGAATTTCTTTTATCTAATAGAGTCTGTTCTCAATTCTTATTCTCTGTTGATCTGGCTATTTTTATGCCAGTACATTTTTATGTGCTGTGTAGGTTTATAATGTAATATGCTCATAGGATTGGTCTCATGACTTTATGTCCTTCCTCTCCCATCTGTTGTCTGTTGCCTTGTTTTTTTTTTGTTTGTTTGTTTGTTTGTTTCAATAGGAAGAGATTAATTTTTATTTATTTATTTATCTATTTTTTTGAGACAGAGTCTCACTATGTTGCCCTCGGTAGAGTGCTGTGGTGTCACAGCTCACAGCTACCTCGGACTCTTGGACTTAAAAGATTCTCTTGCCTCAGCATCCCAAGTACCTGGGACTACAGGCGCCCACCACAATGCCCAGCTAATTTTTTGTTGCAGTTGTCATTGTTGTTTAGCTAGCCCAGGCCGGGTTCAAACACTTGGTTCATGTGGCCAGCACCATTACCACTGTGCTATGGGTGCCAAGTCTAATTTTTAGAATTACATCTGTTAAATACAACATTTAAGAGGAACAGTGAACCTTCTTAACTTCACCTATAACCATTGATTTCATTATTCTTTTCTCTAGCAGGTATGTCAAATCTTAGAAGGTACATTTTCTTCTACATTTAGCCTCCTAGAACTTCCCAGATTCTACTTACTGCTTGTGGTTAATCTTGAACCTGGTCAAGATTTCTTTTCAACCTTTACCTTCTATATTTATCTCTCTGATTATATAGTTCCCTTAAAAATACCTTTTTTCTGATTAAAAAAAGTAGTATATATTTATTGTAGAAGGTTCAGAAAATACAGAAAAATACAAAGAGCAGAATAATTTCCTGTAATTTCACCATCCATTAGTGTTTTGTTACAACTTTAAATATATTATAAAATCCTCAGTATTATAGAAGAAAACCCCATGAGTAGTATACTATTATTTTTTCCATTTTATATATGAAGAACTAACATATCAATGGTTTAATAATTTTTCCACAGGCCTCTTCATAGGAAGTGCTAGGATGTGATCCCAGGCCTTTTGATTTCAAAGTTTTTATTTTTTCTTACCAAACACTTACAGTAAATGTTAACCTCTAGTGCTGACCTGTAGATGTTTTCTTATGCTCACTCTTTTTAAGTCCTTTAGAGCTTTCCATTCTTTCCATAGGTCTTTTGTGTAGCCTGTTCATCACTGGCTGACAGCTGGGTCTGTACTGCCTCTGTCTGCACTATTAGAAAAGCTAAAATACTCTGACTAAATGGTAGCTTAGTCTAGTACTGTTGTGTGCGTCTTACATTTCATGCTAGCATTCTGTTCTAAGTTGTGTGATATTTTGCTGTGATTTAGGAGTAGTTCCTAGGATAATATCATTTTGATCCATCTGCAGGTTTCTCTTTGGTAACAACCTTTGTTCATTTAATATTTTGAAATCCTTCTGAATTTGTTCGGTTAATGCAACTCCCTTCTTTGAGATTTCACTTTATTTATAGATGATATTTTATAGGTAAAAAGAATTAGAAAGATTTTACTTTGTGACTAGATCATACTCAAAAGTAAAAGGGGAAATTAGTGTCTTTTTTCAGTGTTAAAAACCTGCCAATCATTCCTGACTTCAGAGTGAATAGATTGTGTCTGTGTCAACACTTTCAACCTGGGTTTTTTTTTTTTAACCCAGAATTGCTATCCTATTTGCATTTGAAATCATGTATATATGTTGAAAATGATAGCTATAAGTCTGCTTGCATTTTTGCTTTCTTTTTCTTTTTGCAAGGCTAATTTTTAATGTAAAAGATAGTTCTCAGTTTAAAAACCAAAATCTTCAGCCAGGCATAATGGCATATTCCTATAGTTCCCACTACTCGGGATGCTGAGTCTGGAGAAGGATCACTTAATGCCAGGAGTTTTAGACCAACCTGGGTAACATATCGAGACCCTGTCTTAAAAAAATAATTATTATTATTTTCTGATATTTTGTAAGACAATCTGATGAGAAAAGTGGTTGTTTCCTAGAATTTGATCAGAGACTCTGAAAGGATTTGCTTTGGAGGAAATTTGCTCTAATTTACTACTAACTAAAATAAATACATTATGAATGATATTATTTAGAAGGTTAAGAATAAGGAATATCAATTCTTTATGAAAGGAGAGGGAATGAAGAGGCCCAGCATATATAAAAATAAAACTGGTCATACAATTTAAAGAGAATGATCTTTTATAGACAAAGTAAGCTGTTTGGAATAAAAAAAAATGTGGGACTACTATAAAAAATGAAGGATTTGGAAGATGATAAAGGAAAAAGAAGGAAAATAGAACATGAAACGAATTAGCCTGTCAATCTGAATGCTCTTTAAAAAGCACTTTGGTAGGAAGAACTCCATAGATGGACCACCCCCATAGAATACTTGTATCTTGTTACTAAGTTCTTTATAAGCACTTTTTTTTGTGGTTGCATTTATTAAAACATCCATGGTGGTTAGTATAGTGCCTTTGCTGGTAGAGTATACTAGCTATTAAATGAATGTTGAAAGTGATATGAAGTTATTTGAAATTTGTTTATACATGCAGTGACAAAATAATTTTCTTGATTTAGAACCTTTTTTTTTTTTCAAATTAATGATTTGCCTATGTTCCCATAACAGACACATTAAAGGCATTGTTTTGTTACTCATAATAGGAACTTGGGTTCCTTTAAGGCTTGTCAGTTAAGTATGAGGGTTTTGGCTATAGAAAACAATAAATATACATGAGTATATGCCTGATAAATATAGTAAATTTTGGCTTAATTTTACAGTAATGAGCATTTTTTTCTTCTTTATAAAAAGTAATATGTCCTTAATACATTTGTGTTCTTTCTGTCTTATTCAGGGAAACAGTGCTTCTTAGTTCTGCGTCAGCAGCAGTTTAATGTCCAGGCTCTTGTGGCGGTGGGAGACCATGCAAGCAAGCAGATGGTTAAATTTGCTGCCAAGTAAGTAAGCAATTATATCCTGTTGTCAGAATAAACAATGGTGGGAACCAAGACTCCCAGGAGTTTGGACCATTTTCATACTTTAACATCAGTGCTTCGTTTGTTTAAAAATGTAGTTATTTAAATTGTTGGTTCAGTGTTGCTGAATACATTACACTTAGAAAAGAGAAAATATGGAGCACAGGCTTGAAATTCATTTAGAACTGCTGAAGCAGCACTCTCTATAGACAAGTCACATTTACTTTCAAGTAGAGTAACAAAAGACCTGGCAGCCTCAACATAGCAGAGCAACTTTATTTTGTCGTGTTTTTTGAGCTTCATTTCCTCCCTCCCCAGTTTGAGATTTGCATGTTGAGCAATAAGTTTCCTAACTGAGTAATAAAAGTATATAAAATAAAAGAATATAGTTTTGTAAATTGTTCTCTCCCTAAAGAAGTAAAACAAATGATGTGACATGTTACAGCTTTTAACTTTGACACTAAAAAGATTTAGGGGAAAAGGGTAAAATTTGCTTTTTCATGCCTCTGAAAGTCTTAACTGTCTGGCCTAGAGTTCTGTAGAAGCAGAATTTTTTTTTTTTTTTTTTAGCTTGAAAGAGGCAGGATATAGAGACAGCAGTGTGGTTGTGCATGCTATACTCCAAGGTAATGAAAGTAGTTTTACTGCCTCAGCGCCTATAGCTCAACTGGCTAAGGCGCCAGCCACGTACACCTAAGGTGGCGGGTTCGAAT